ACGATTCCAGTGAATGGCATCAGCAATGCGGTTGAAGAAGTATGGTGCTGAGCGAAGCCCAAATGGCAGCACACGGTCGAAGAAATAGCATCCTTCCCAAAAAAACCCGAGCAGGTGCCAGTCTTCCTTCCGAACTGGGCATAAGCGAAATGCGTGTTTAACATCGATTTTTGCGAGTAAGGAGCCATGGCCATGCTTGTGAATGAAGGCTACAGCATCATCGATGCGTGAGTAGACCAATGAATGATCTTCTTTTGAGATATTGTCATTGACGCTGTCAAGTGTAGGTTGGGAGAGATCCATGATAATGCGAAAACCCCCACTTTTCTTAGGCCGTAGGCCAAGAGAATTACAGACAAAGTTTTTGAGGGGAGGACGTTTAAATGGTCCGATAGTGTGACCAAGTTTGAGTTCTTTTTGGATTGATTCTGTGATGATAGAGGGGTTGATGCGAGCAGACTTGGCATTGCGTGTAGATCTTGGGTAGTGCTTGCCGCGAAATCCAAGGTTAGCCCCATGAGAAATGTCAAATAAAATGGCTGCTACGAATGATTTGTCCGGGTGATCGTGCAGTTCTTGCGCAAAGGAATCGAGCTTAAGAGGTGTGCTTGGGTGCATATTTTCGACCACGTGAGCTGGCATGATCATTGGCGTGAAAGGGTCGTGGTGTGTAGCCACGAAAAAGCTGGTTTTTCGTCTCGGTATCGCGGTGGCTAGTGGCAGTGTGGCCTGCAGAGTGGCAAGACGAACAAATGTGGAGACGATTATACCGGCATGGAGTTTCGCAGCGATCTTGATTGAAATTACGGCACACTGTATTGTTATAATTGTCAGCAGATTCGTTCACCCATGTATAAGGATTCCTGCTTCGTTGGCATTCCTGTTTGGTATGACCTTTCTGATGACAGTCAGGACATGTTGGAATGAGCAGATGGAGTTTTTGTTGACAGAATTTGTAGTCAAGTTGGTTGTTAGGCAAACTCCAGTTCCGTAGGCCAGGGTAACGTGAGTAATCCAGACGGAATTCTTTGTCATAGGTGACCCATGCTTCTGGCTTGAACTCAAGAGCTCGGCTGGCGATGTGACGTACGGTGCGGCAAAATGAACTGATGCTTGAAGAGGATGCGAGCACGGATAAGCGAATGAACAGTCTGGTGTTAATTAATGTAAATCCGACTGAAGGACGAAATGTGAGCAAATATTGCATGAAGTACAATGTGGCATGGGAGGTGTCAAAATATGAAAGGGGGAAGTCAGCTTGGTCAATGCATGTCATAATTGAGCATTAACACAGATTATAAATTATATTCATAATCATACTATTAATGCTTCAATAAATGACACAAGACACAAGGTTTTGGCAAAAGTGGAAGGGGGAGAGAATTGCAGACGCAGGCGTCGCAGCGAACAGCTCCATGATGCGACTCGCCTGTGAATTGCATCATGACACCGAGCGCGTGGTACCTGGTTGCAACCTTCCACCAGCAGAGACTGTACAGGCGGGCGTCATGGCTGGCGTCTCCCTGGCGGGAGCCTGCAGATAGACTCACAACCCCAGGGGGATGGACAGCGTGGGTACCCGTGTAAAGTCTGCTTGGTCTGTGGTGGAAACCCCCAAATTTAAAGGCAGGATGATGTGTTACAAAGTCTATCGCGATAGGATAAAACAAAGCATGGTTAGACCGATAAAACATTAAACTAAATACACTGCAAATACATGTAACGAAAACGAAATGAAATCTCAAGACAAATGTCGAAATTACAGTTAAGGAAGAGCAAGTGACAAGTGACCCGGAACTGAGCGGATGATGCTGGGGGGGTGTGCGAATGTACGTCTGGTAGGCGTCGCTGCGCCACCTGCCCAGTGCCTTGATCAACCAGTCCGGAAGATTTGCGTCGGCAGCTGTCGTGGCTGCACCACTGCGGAAACTGTGAGTAGTGTAACGGTTAACATCTGGTACAGATGCGCGAGTGAGAAGGTCTCGAATGTGGTTGCTAACAGCTTGCCGCGTGAGGAAATTACTGTTGGCAAACTGGAATGCGGGTAGGTGAGCGACGGAACTATGTAGTGCTTTGTACGCCTGGTATGCCTGCACAGCGCAGACCGATGACTGTGAGGGTGCGATGATGATGTTACATCCCCGGCGGAATGGGTCTGTCTTAGACGCCTTGAGCGCAATGACGAGGTCTGTGTTGCACGTGATGTCTGCCGTCAGTAAAGTGCGTTGTGGATCGAAGGTCATTGACGCGGGTGCGACAAATTCGCTGACTCTCAAGAAGCCGAAGAACGCCAGTGTAAAGGCAGACCACAACATAGCTTTGTCATGGTCGCAAATAGTGGGATGGTTTGCGACGGTGTTCTTAAGCATTCGCATTAGTGCAATGGTGATTGGGAGTTTTACACGATTTGGCACGCCGTGATTTCTTTTAATGCCTTGCATAGTGAAGTGAAGCAGGAGGTCGTCGCGTATTGATGAGGTGAAGCCAGCTTCGATGTGTGCACGGATGATAGCTGCGAGGTAAACTTTTAGCGTGCCATAGGTAAGTGACGATGTTGCGAGATGTGTCATAAACAGAATCGTTGAGCGTTGCGTTAGTGGATAAGGATTCATTCCATACATGCGACAGAAGAGAAGATAGCGAGTTTGTCCCGCATGATATGTCCGTCGTGTACCTGGTGCAATGCTCAGGTTGATGTAGTGGCAGGCTTGTTGTGTGAGGTTGACGGGACTACGTCACATATCGGAGCCGTTAAGAGGGTGCACAGGTCCGGAGTTTTGGTTGGGACCCTGTCTGCCTGAGGTGTCAGTCGTTGAAACCGCAATATCTGTTGGCGAGAGAGAGAGTCAGCGATATCGTTATTAAACCCTGAGATATGTGAGATCATGACGTGAAAGTTATTAGATGCTGCAGTGAAGAACAGCAGTCGGACAAGTTGCATGATCCGTGGACATGATGAGGAGCCTTTTTTCCATATTTGGACAACTGATATGTTATCGCAGTGAAACCGTATTCGAAGACCATACCACAAGTGGCCCCAAATTAAGGAAGATAGTAGAATTGGTAGAAGTTCCTTCCAGGCAATAGAGTATAAAGGGTCATTTGTAATGAATGTAGGCCAGGTGTTTGCGAACCAATGACCCTTGTAGAATGCACCGTAGCCAAGTGTTGCTGAGGCGTCTGTAAACAGTTCGAATTCTGGGGACGGTATCCAGTTTGGGTTGAGGAGGGATGCTGTGCCGTTCCAAGATGGCAAGAAGTCACACCACCATTGAACATCATGCCAGAATTCGTCAGTGAGTGTTATGACTTGAGAAAGACTGGTGGCTGTCATGCTGATATCAATCATGCGCCTCAGGAAGATGCGGCCGGCTAGCATGCACTTACATGCGAAACTGAGGCATCCAATGAGGGAGAGCAATTCACGTTTCGAGCATGTATGGCGGGTCAACCAGCTTGGCAGCTTGACAAGTAGATCCGCAAGCTTGTCCTTAGGTAGTCTAATAACCATGTTGACAGTGTCAAGCTCCACCCCTAGAAAGGTGATGACAGAGCAGGGACCCTCAACCTTTTCTGTAGCAATGGGTACCCCCAAGTGGTGACAACTTTGCAGCATAACATCCATATTGTGCTGGCAGGCGTTAGTGTTTGCCGGTCCAACTGTCAGGAAATCGTCTAGATAGTGTAGAATATCCTTATTCCTTGCGCGATGACTAATGATCCAGTGAATGGCATCAGCAATGCGGTTGAAGAGGTATGGTGCTGAGCGAAGCCCAAATGGCAGCACACGGTCGAAGAAATAGCATCCTTCCCAAAAAAACCCGAGCAGGTGCCAGTCTTCCTTCCGAACTGGGCATAAGCGAAATGCGTGTTTAACATCGGCCATGCTTGTGAATGAAGGCTACAGCATCATCGATGCGTGAGTAGACCAATGAATGATCTTCTTTTGAGATATTGTCATTGACGCTGTCAAGTGTAGGTTGGGAGAGATCCATGATAATGCGAAAACCCCCACTTTTCTTAGGCCGTAGGCCAAGAGAATTACAGACAAAGTTTTTGAGGGGAGGACGTTTAAATGGTCCGATAGTGTGACCAAGTTTGAGTTCTTTTTGGATTGATTCTGTGATGATAGAGGGGTTGATGCGAGCGGACTTGGCGTTGCGTGTAGATCTTGGGTAGTGCTTGCCGCGAAATCCAAGGTTAGCCCCATGAGAAATGTCAAATAAAATGGCTGCTACGAATGATTTGTCCGGGTGATCGTGCAGTTCTTGCGCAAAGGAATCGAGCTTAAGAGGTGTGCTTGAGTGCATATTTTCGACCACGTGAGCTGGCATGATCATTGGCGTGAAAGGGTCGTGGTGTGTAGCCACGAAAAAGCTGGTTTTTCGTTTCGGTATCGCGGTGGCTAGTGGCAGTGTGGCCTGCAGAGTGGCAAGACGAACAAATGTGGAGACGATTATACCGGCATGGAGTTTCGCAGCGAACTTGATTGAAATTACGGCACACTGTATTGTTATAATTGTCAGCAGATTCGTTCACCCATGTATAAGGATTCCTGCTTCGTTGGCATTCCTGTTTGGTATGACCTTTCTGATGACAGTCAGGACATGTTGGAATGAGCAGATGGAGTTTTTGTTGACAGAATTTGTAGTCAAGTTGGTTGTTAGGCAAACTCCAGTTCCGTAGGCCAGGGTAACGTGAGTAATCTAGACGGAATTCTTTGTCATAGGTGACCCATGCTGATTGAGTATTTGCTGGTCGACGTATGGTAAAAACAAGTCTGCAGGTGGGATGATAGGAGGAACTGCAATGCTGGCATTGTCCATCATCGGCATCACCCTCATCGGCATCGCCTGTGTAGCAGTGTTGATACCGGAAGCGGAAGTGAGAATGCCCTCACCGGCAAAACGTTGTATGGGAGCGGCCATGTTGGTTGCGTTGAAATGACCCCCGGTAGCAAAACTTTGTTGACTAGGATTAGCGTGAGCTAGCGATGCTTGGCTTGTAGTAGCTGGAAGTTGTTGAAACATCGAATTGTCTTGATGAGCGGTATTATTGTGTACGATCGCATTATGTTGACTAGCTATTGGCAAGGTAATCGGAAGGCTGTTATTTGTGAGAGAGTCAGTTGGCGTCGAACTTGATGGCGTTGTTTGGCTTGGGTCGCGTGATGACACGAGGCTTGCCGACAGTTGTGGAGCAGCCGGCGGTTGCGAATTATTATTCGGCTGCGTTTGACAGTTTCCTTGCTGTTGTAGGCTACGAACGAGATCTGCGAGTTCGCTTCTGCTAACTGTGATGACATTGCTGGGGAAGTTCGTGGACTGTAGTACAGTGGGATCTCCATTGTGTGCTGACGATTCTTGCGGAGGTGAGTCAGTTACGTCTATAGTCGCAACATTTTGGAAGCGAGCTGGAGTACGACGATTTCGTTGAGACTTGCGACCGCCACGGCTGGTGTTAGATCTTCCGCGTCCTCGAGGCATGTTGGAACTGGATGTTGTGAAGAAAAACTGGTATTTGTGACAAAATGAATGGCTGAAATGCTTTAGCAAGGAATTCTGCTGAGACGATGTGTATCGTACGGTGCGGCAAAATGAACTGATGCTTGAAGAGGATGCGAGCACGGATAAGCGAATGAACAGTCTGGTGTTAATTAATGTAAATCTGACTGAAGGACGAAATGTGAGCAAATATTGCACGAAGTACAATGTGGCATGGGAGGTGTCAAAATATGAAAGGGGGATGTCAGCTTGGTCAATGCATGTCATAATTGAGCATTAACACAGATTATAAATTATATTCATAATCATACTATATGTGCAGTAATTTATTCAGTGGTGCAAAATTCAAAGTTGGCTCAAGGTGCCTTACTTTGCTTTCTATATTTGTATGCATACTCATAATGGAAATTTTTTATTGCAAGAAATGAAAGAAAAAGCACTTAAAATTAATTAAAAACATAAAAATATATGTTTTTCTTTTCATTCCAGAATTTTAAATTCATAGACCGTTTTTGTTTCCAACCAAAATGAAGTTGGACAGATGACTTTTGAGTTTAAGTATGAAGCAGTAAGTATAATTCATTGTATATTCAAGCTGTGTTAATGGTACCTCAGCAGCCACAATCAATTTACATGTAAAATACACTGTATTCAGGGGCTACCTGCTAGCAGCCAGTCTTTACCGACTACAGTAAGTGGTTGATTGAACTGGTTTTCCAAAGGACAGCAAGATTGGTGGACTTGTCCATTGCTTTCTAAACACTTATCAGACTGCAACAACCACAAATGTTCCATAATTAT